AGTTTTAAAACGGTGCTTTAGGTTCTAAGTATTTCTTTCTAGTAACCGAAACTGACCGCAGTTCGCCGAAGTTGACCGAAGCTGGTACTGCATTTGTCATTCTTGATATATGTCATTACCCGTTAACCGCTTTTTGATTTTCGGGTCGACATATTCGGAATTTTTAATCATCCACGCTATAATGTCAGCCTTAAGGTAGCGCACGAAACGCCCTTTTTTAAAGTACTCAGGGCCTTTACCGTCGCTACGCCACTGACGTAATGTATTAGGAGATAAGCCTAAAATGTCGGCCGCCTTTTTCTCATTTAATAAAACTAATGCTTTAGATGATTCCATATTTTTCGTTTATTTTTATTATTTATGTATATTTGAGTATATTATTCCAAATTTGTCATATAAAGTCAAGTAAAAGGCGACATAAATGGAAACAATTGGAATAAGATTAAAAAAAATAAGGAACATCAACGACTTAACACAAAAGCAGATATCTAATGAATTAAAAATAACCGCTAGAAGCTGGCAACGATACGAAACAGATGAAACATTTCCGACTACAGATCTAGCTATAAAGATCTGTTCCTTGTTCGACATCGACCCGACCTGGCTGCTAACAGGCGAAGGCGAAGAGCCGCAGCCTATAAATAACCAGCAACAAAAAGCAGAGGTCGTGGTGCCGATCAACAAGAGGGTTGAACCCCACGCAACAACTCATGAAGGTGAAGCGTTATGCGCATCGCTGATCAACGCAGGAATAACCCTGGATTATTTAGCAAATATAGCTTTTATGAGGCCCGACGAAATACATAAAATGCTAGAACTAGACCAAATTCCACAAGAAAAACTAAATAGAATAAAGCTAGCCTTGGGGTACAACCCCTTAACCGAAGATCCACCTGACCTGGGGATAGACGGAACTGGAGGGCGGGAAACAGAAGTAATATAATATCATTATCAACTAAAAAGAAGCTAAATAGAAATATTATTTACACTAAAAGAAGACAAAAATTACATTTAATCAATAACCAAAACCTACAGCTTGTAATGAGTTTTTAAGGGGGGAGCCATGAAAACAGTTAAATATATGGTTATATTAACCATTTTATTGCAAGCCCATACAAGCAACGCGGAGGTAGCCACCGCCATCCCAGCACTAAAGGGTAAAAAAGAACACGTAGATCTCATTTACAGTAAATGGCGTATCCTACATCAGCATTGTCCAGGGCTGTCTAAATATCAACACCTTTTAGAATTTCAGGGAATTACCCCCTTCTTCCTAACACAAGACCCAAATGACCCACTATCACGTATCGAAGTCGTATACAAAGTTACAGATGATTATAAAAAGCTTCCTTATGAAATATTTTCAGCAAATGGCCATACCTGTCGTTACGGTATATCACCTAACGGCAATATGATAAGAATACAGAAATCTATATGTACATCGGTTTGCCTAGCCAGAAAGTACGACAATGGCGGCGCGGACTACTACCGCAGGCTTGATCGACCACCGTTGCAATAATCTTACAATTTCTTTGCAGCGAATTATAAATATTGCAAGCAAATTGTCCTTTTTGGTGGAAATGGCTAAAAACAGGGACAGAGGTTTGCAAATCTTTTTCGTGATTTTTAATTGTTTGATGTTGCTTGAGGCCGCATAAACATTAATTCCATCCAGCCTCATCCAGCTTTATCCGATCCCATCCAGCTTTTTTCAAACGTTGTGACTCCTGACAGCAGCAAAACAACTAAAGAGTACTAATTCTTCTTTAGCGATTATTAGCGCACGTTGAAAACGTTTGATGGCCAAATTATAGCGAAATAGTTTCAAAATATGTACTAATCTAAAAAGTCTAAAGATACGTACCATACGGAGATCAAGGCCAGGAAAACAGTAAAATGGGACTATTGCTATCAAATCTAAGACGCCATAAAAACTAAATACAAAATTACATTTCTTTTCTTTTGCCAAAAATCGCAGCAGATATTCTAATGTAAAAATACCTACTGTAATAGCTTCGATCATATGTAATATTTTTTTTGTGCTATCGGATAAATTTGGTAACGTCTCAACAGAAAAAGATATAAGCGAAAGAATGATTAGTATTTCTATAGAAAAAGTAAAAATCTTCCCTGCTAGATGATCTGTATCATTAACAACTTTTTGCAGTATATTTTTATGTATCAAACTGTAATTCTCCTTTTAGGCTTGCTCAGCAAATGACACGCATTTATATTCGACTCAGCAACATCAATCATATTAGCTTTTACAACAAATATTGTATATCTATAGGCTACTTTCAGAATTTATATTGACCTGAATTACCTTTGATCTGTTACCATAAGCATACACAGGTGGTATAAGGCTTTATCTTAAGTTCTTGCCATAATCGGGAAGCCGGTGTAATTCCGGCACGGTCGCGCCACTGTGAACGTAGAATTTGGTCTCATATAGATACCACTGTTCGACTTTTAGAATGGGAAGGTAAGATCAAATAATGATACGTAAGTCAGGAGACCGGCCTGTGTATTAATCGACAGTTGCTCTTCGCGAAAAAGGGCTTATGTCTTGCGAGGTATTGCTGGATATCTTAAGTATTTCTTCTAGCTGCCATCTGCAAACAGCCACGTGTTTTCTTCTGTCATTCTAAGTGAAAAATTAAACTCTTCTGGAACTTACAGAATAAAAGCTTTAAGTATGATGGCTATCAAACAACAATACAAAATGTGCTCTTTATACATAGTAGTCTGCTTTTTTACAGCTATCTGGTTAGCGTTCTTATTACTATCTACGGTATGGGCTGCTTCTAACCAACAATTGTCAACTTCTGTATCTATAGTAGCAACTCCTCTAAAACCAACAACACAATTACCTATAGATTTTTGTCATTCAGATACCTCTTGGAAAAGGTTAGCTAAAAAAGTTCACATTCGTCGTGCTAATTTTCAGATTGAATATGGCCCTGGTTATAAGAAGCTTATTGTTAAGCAACCCTGGAAAAATGCACCACCAAGGATACTACTTTTAAAGTGTCAAAATACTCAGGCTCATAATATTGATTACGATTATATTGTAGATTTACCTTTACAGCGTATTGCGATAAATGGTAGTCCTGTTGTTCACCATTTTGTCCTCCTTAATGCTGTAGATAAAATTGCTGCCATTCATAATGCAGACCTTATTGTCGATCTTAATATAAAGCATCTCCTTATTAATAAGAAAATCATTTCTTTAGGTTCTGGCCCCAAAATTGCTCCTGAGCCGGTTTTAAGAGCTAATCTAGACTTGTTTTATAGCTTTATTTTTGGCAATCCAGAAGACACAATTCATCCTGTTTTGAAATCACAAATTCCGTTTGCCATTTTTGCAGACTACCTAGAAAACCATCCTCTAGGTAGAGCCGAATGGTTACTATTTACAGCAGCACTTGTAGATCAAGAAGAGATTGCACTTGCGATGTTAAACGATGTGGAACAACAATATCAACGGATTAAAAACGATATTCAACAACAACCTATTCCTGTACTTGCAGGCGAGGCTTATGGTGGCGTTTGGTATATAGCAGGCAAAGACAGCTATAAAGCACAACTAATACGTGATGCAGGTGGCTATACATTGCCGCAACGGGATGGTCCTATGAGTATTAGTGTCGATTTTGAAACAATCTTACGAGAAGCACATACTACCCAAATATGGTTAGTCAATCAGGTTAAACATAAACAAGAACTTTTGGCAGCAGAACCACACGTAGAAACACTTCCTGTGTGGAAAAACAAACAAATTTATGCCCACGATTTGCGTAATGATTACTGGGAACGAGGGGTTGTTAACCCTCATATTCTCTTACAAGATTTAGCAACTATTTTTAATGCTATCACACGTCAACATCGCCCAAACCACCTCTATTTTTATCGTCAGGTTCCAGGTCTGTAACAAAACATGTTCACTTTCAAAGCCATACCAATAACGGTTATTTTACTTTTGATTGTCACTACCTTTTCTATCTTACTTACGGACCAACAATATGGTGTTTTTGATCTTTGGCAGGTTGCACATGCAACTAATACAGATGCTCTTATCCTGTTACAAATTCGCTTACCCCGTTTACTAGCATCAAGTTTTGGTGGCGCGGCATTAGCACTATCAGGGCTTTTATTACAGACTTATTTTCGTAACCCTTTAGCGGGTCCATCTGTGCTTGGACATAGCTCTGGAGCTTCTTTAGCTGTTGCGACAATGGTCTTATTTGATACATCAAGCTCATTTGCTGGTGGTAGTTTTAGTCGTGCTTTTGTTGGTGGTCTTGGTGTTGCCAGTGTCAGTATATTGATTACAGTCATTGGGACAAAACTACGACCAACAACACTCTTGTTGGTTGGGCTACTTTTAGGGTTTACACTCGGGGGTATTGTTGCCATCATGGTTCAGTTTAGTACGCCAGAACAAATTCAAAGTTTTTTAATCTGGACGTATGGCAGCTTTGGTTCTTTGAACTTACAACAAGCTAAACTTATGGTTTGTATGATATTGCCAGCATTGGCGATTGCTTGGTTCGGATGGCGGCATTGGGATGCCTTATTACTTGGAGAAGAGACTGCGACAACATTAGGATTTTCAACACAGCGTTTACAGTGGTTACTTTTGGTTATCACGTCTATTTTAACTGGTGTCACAACTGCTTTTTGTGGACCGATTGCTTTTATTGGTGTTGCAACTCCGCATTTGTCACGCACCTTATTTCGAATCTCTAGTCATAAATTTTTGGTACCAGCAACGATTATAACGGGCGCTTTAGTTGGTATGCTTGCAGATTTAGCTTGTTATCTTGTTGCTGGTCGTATTTTGCCACTTTCTGCAGTGACTGCTCTTTTTGGGGCTCCGATTTTAATTTTGATTATTCTAAGAGGTCAACGTGCTCAGCTGTAATGTTGCCATTGGTTATACGAAGACGATTCAATCGGATATCTCTGGTCAACTTCGACGCGGTGAGATTTTAGCCGTTATGGGTAACAATGGCATGGGAAAATCGACTTTTTTACGGACCGCATCTGGGCTACTTCCGCCACGCAGTGGAACTATTACCTGGCTAGATGACAATCGCGAACTTAACATTTCAAAAACGTCACCTTATATGCGAAGTCAACTCTTAGGTGCTATATTTCCGAGCCAGGCACCTTTTTATTTACAGGTTTCTGACTATATTGCTGCTGCAACATTACGAGAACAAAACCTGCTCTTTTCTAAAGATCAGCAAGCAGACCTTTGGGCAGCTATGTCTGAACTCAATATTGAGCAGTTGTCAGGCAAACGTGTCAACGAATTATCTAGCGGCCAGTGGCAACGTGTACAATTAGCTAGACTCTGGCTACAGCAGGTTCCCTTATGGTTTCTAGATGAACCAACGGCACATCTAGACTGGCATAGTTCGCTACAACTTTACCACTGGTTGCGTCAACAAGCAGATGATTATGGCCGTACAATTGTCTTAACATCTCACGACTGGTCATCTATTTTAACCATTGCAGACCAAATTCTACTGTTTGATGATCAAGATACTCAAAATTACTTTTGGAGTCCCGAAGCCATTGCCCAACAAACACCCTGGAGCCAAGACGCTAAATATAGCTATGACCCATTACAACATGTTATTCCTTTTCTAATAGAGCATGAAACTTGGCAAAAGATTATCGTCAAAGGTACTTATGACCAATGGAGTTTACATGCCATACGTCGGGCAGCATTATGTCCCGTTACACACCCTAAACAGGAAAAGGAATCATTGACACAATTAACCTGCGTGTTTACAACACCTACGAGTGGTCAATTAGCTTTAGAAAATCAGCAATTTACATTTGACACGATACAAGAATTAGTACGAACTCTTCGTTACCTGACAACGTCTCATTTTAAGTCTAGAGATTTAGATATTTAAAGGTGCACTATGAAAACAGCTGTCTCTTTTTTACCCGCTGCAACACAAACAATACTTGACCTTAATGCTAAACATTGTTTACGCGGCGTTACATTTGAATGCCCAGAGTCAGCCCGCCGCGATTTACCGATTATTGTCCACTGCCACCTTGATGTCGAACATACGACAAGCCAAGATATTGATCGTTTGTTTAGTAGTTATGCTCAAACAGGTAAACCTTTATATTGGGTTGATGATCAGAAGCTCCAACTTGCTGCTCCTGAAGTTGTTTTTACACAAGATGTTTGTGATATCTGTCAAATTGATACCAAATGTACACAAGCATCTTTAGACAAATTGTCTATTATGCCTGAAATCATACGTTTAACCCCACAAAGTTTAGATGATGTTTTTATGGATGCGTCACGGATTGCCTCTGCGATTGGTCAACATGAAAGGGGTCAACAATTTATTACAAACCTACGCACGCGTTTACAAATCATTGTAGAAACGCTGCGCAAACACCAAGCGCCTTTGCGTCGTGTTTCTTTACTTGAATGGTTAGACCCTATCTATAATTGTGGCCATTGGATTCCTGAGCAACTTGCTTATGCAGGTGGTATCGACATGCTGTCACATCCACGCGGTGACAGTATCCGTATTGATTGGGAAACCATACGCCGCTATGATCCAGAGATCATTTGTCTTGCCCCTTGTGGTTTTGATGTTACACGTTCATTGCAAGAATTAGAACCCTTTATGCAGTTACCTGGTTTACAAGATCTACAAGCTTGGCAACAAGATACTATTTTTGTACTTGACTATACCTATTTCACACAGCCTTCAATTCGTACCAATGTAGAAGGTATTGAACTTCTTGCCCATTTATTTCACCCAGAGCTATTTCCTGAACCTGTTCCTGAAGGAGATACTTGGATACGTCTTAAGCATCACTAGCTATGACCGATCCCTCATTGACAACTAAATACTGCCATCACTGTCAACAATCTTTTACCTGCAAACAAGCTCAGGGTTGTTGGTGTGAGACAGTACCACCTATCTTTGCCCTCACAACAACAGGCTGTCTTTGCCCCGTCTGTCTTCAAGAGTCAGCACATCGTTTAATTCAACAACATATGCAATCAGCACCTGCTGGTAGCCCTGCCCATGAAGCTTGGTGGGCAACGACCAAGCAAGAACAACGTTTATATGAAGGTTACGATTATACAGTTGATCCAATCACTGGCTATAAAGTTATGAGTGCTTGGTATTTATATCGACGGGGACACTGCTGTGGTAATGGTTGCCAGAACTGTCCTTATGAAAGCTTACATACAGATATTCGCGGTAGAACATTGTCATGAAATTTGTCACCAGCTGGAGCGGCGGTAAAGATAGTTTTTACGCTTTTCACTTAGCCTGCAGACAAAATCTTATTCCTACTGTTCTGCTTAATGTTACCAACGAAACTGGAACACGCTCTCGCTCTCATGGTTTACCCCCACGTATGTTACAGCAACAAGCCGATGCTATAGGTTTACCTCTTTTTTGCATCCAAGCTAGTTGGCAAAGCTATGAAACAGAATTCATTAAAGGTCTAAATATTGCCCAACAAGATTACGGCGTAGAAGCTGCTGTTTTTGGTGATATTGATCTGCAGCCCCATCGCGATTGGGAAGAAAAGGTTTGTGCCCAAGCTGACCTAAAACCGATTTTACCCTTATGGGGTGACGATCGTCGTGAACTTGTCTATGCCATGTTAGATATTGGTATTACAGCTTATATTGTTAGTTGTAACCTAACGATGGGCGCTGATTATATTGGCAAGGCCTTAAGCAAAGCGCTTGTTGACGATTTGATTGTTTTAGGGGTAGACCCATGTGGAGAGGAAGGTGAGTTTCATACCATGGTGACCGATGGTCCGGGCTTTCAATATGCCTTACCGGCACCCATCGGCAGACCTATTTTCCATGAGGATTATTGGTTTTTGGATTGGTCTTAACCTTCTTTTATTGAACACTGTTACCTAATGCTGTAATTATATTAGAATAATCTATTCTAAATTGAACTAAGAGAAGGACTAGATCAACATGTTTAACCGTATTCGACATCATCAATATATTTTTTTTACTCTCGCACTAATACTACATTTTTTTCTCCCCTCAACAACTATTTTTGCAGCTCCTCCAACTATACAGGAAGTTGCTTCAAGTATCGGAAATGGCGAAGTACGTAGCTTATTTGAGCAAAAAAAATATTGGCAAGCGATTCGTAAAGCTCACGATTTAGGATTATCGTCAGACAAAACAACTATTTATGATTTTGTAGAACAACGCTTAACAAATGTTAAACAAGAAATTGCTAATTCAGCATCTGCACGTTTACCTTCTCATCAAGTTTCTGAAGTTGGTGATATTAAGGTCTTCTATAAAGAAATAGGTAATGATATAGATAAAAATATAAGTGTCGATTTTTCTTTCTACAATAGATCTGAGGC